AAATGAGAATGCTCAGGAGAGGGAACTGGGAAGCAAGTGTGAAAGGGCCCTGGGAACAAGGTCCTTCAAGGGAGTGTCAGTTACAGGAAGCAGGACATGCACTGGTTACAAAATTTTCTTGCCATCTTCTTCCCACTGTGTGTTTGAATTGTTTTCCAGGCAGTTATAAGTGGAAGGCATCTTGGAACCATTTAATTCCTCCTTTACAAACAAGCCTGATGAGGAAAAAAAAAAGAAAAGAAAAGAAAGAAATATGCACATCCCCATTCCTCAAAGTGCCTCCAGATGAGTTATTTCTTCAAACCTTGATTTGTGCATGAGAATGTTGCCCACAGTGGAGGACAGTGTGCATGCAGTTGACTCCTGAGGCAATGACTCCTGAGGCTAAGAATAACTGTGGGAAAATGATCAGGCCCACGAATTCTCCATTCCACTCTAGTTTCTGCCAGTTGCCAACCCTGTGCCCTCAGGCACATTATGTCACCTCTTCTAGCTTTGAGCTTTGCTTTCATCATCATCTACAACGGAGCTTGCGGTAACAGTTCATCCTTTAGTGCTTCCTTGTGAAGATGATTCTCAGCATAAGTGCTCGCTGTTATGACTCATTTACTAAACCCCTTGGTGGTAATTAATTCTATCGGATTCAAGGCAGGGGGCATTATCCCATGAAACTTTTAATGACAAATGAGTCCACGGAATGTTTGCAGTGCCTCAGATTTTAAACCCTAGTGCACACATCTGTATGGTAGCATCAAGGGGCCACTCCAAACAGGTGACCTGACTTGTCTTGGACATTTGAACAGCATCTTTTGTCCTGGCTAGCCGTTCTACCTCCCTTGTCTTAGTGTGTTTCTCTCTGGAAGGCTGGATGTGGAATGGTAAGGCTGCTATAGTTGTAAGTGAATGGTGGTTGAAGTGTGTCAAGGAAGCTCAGAGGCAGACAGGAAAAAGAACTGAACTATTCATTTAGGTCTCCCACACCACTGCAAAACCATATCCCAGAGGCAGTGACCAGAAAAACACACAGTGACAATTGCAAAGCTGTTTTCTGAACCCAGAACAGTATAAATAAAACATGGGTGAATATTTTCTCATTTGTTCAATTTAACAAATATGTATTGAGTGCCAGTCACCAGATGGGCACTCTTGGCCTCTGAGAAAATAGGAAGGTGACTTAGGAATTCTTTTTAAAAAGATTTGTTTATTTTTATGTGTATACGTGTTTGGCCTGCCCTATACCACACGTGCCTGGTGCCCACAAAGGTCAGAAGACAGTACCAGATCTACTTGAGCTGGCGATACAAACGGCTGTGAGCCACCGTGTGGGTGCTGTGAACTGAACCCAGGTCCTCTGAACCACTGAGTCATTGTTCCAGGACCCTCAAAAAAAAATCTTGATCTCGAACACCTTACGGTCCAGCAGGGAGACCTAACAAGCTAACTTTCATGTGTAAAATAAATATGAAAATCGAAGTTTCCCACTAGGAGCCATGTGTGTGCCAAACTACATTCCATTTCTTATGCCAAAACAATACCAGAGGCCTGCGGCCGTTCCTCCCTTTTTTCTGAGTTTCATCTAGAGGAGCCCCTCAACACAATCATGGTGCTGTGTATGGAATTATAGATGGATCTGTCACATAAACTCTGTCACATAAACACATAAACTGAATGTTATCATTCAGCCCATCAAATTAGAATGCCCATGTTGGTCCAGCTCTGCTCATCTGAAGAATGTTCCCCTGCTGAGCCAGGCTCATGTCAGCCGCAGGAAGCAACCTTCATGAAGTTCAGAAACTGAATTGAAACTTGGAACCAAAGTGGTTAGGGCAGATGGTTTCTGACCCGCTTCCCTCTCTATCCTTCACCACACCCACCCCCCTCCAAATCCTCCACACACACCCCATCGCCTTTTATCTGACTCTTCCAACAGAGTTTTGTGGTTCCTTTGTCTGAATTCATCAAGCCAAAGTTCCTTTCCTTTAGGTGAAGACACTGCCTTGGGCTTTGGGTGGAAGTTCTGAGAGTCCGCAAGTTTCCAGCTAGCTAATTTAAAAAAACTGGAGTACAAGGAAAAGATGGGGTGCTTCAGTACATTTGTTCAGGGTGCGCAGGCAAGCTGAACAGAAAGCAAAGGAACCAGCTCAGTAGTCACGGCAAGTCAGAGGCTATCAATGACGGACATGCCGGAAGGGGCCTAGCCCTACTCCTTTCAAACATGGACCCCCGGCAATGCTTGTCAAGCTAGGGAACAGCAGCCAACTGCTATGGAGGGCGCTGAGCCTTCTTTCCAGAGGAGAAACTAAGTGAAGTGGATCCAATTAGTGGACACGGGGACACACACACACACACACACACACACACACACACACACACACACGGTGGGAGGGGGAGGAGAGACAGGCAGACAGAGCAGACAGAGGGACACAAAAAGAGAATATCATGTAAAGACTTAAAGTGTGGGGCAAGACAGATGGCCCAGCAGTTAAAAGTCCTTGCTCTCCTTGCAGAAGACCAGAGCTCGGTTC